CATATGTCGACTGGTAGCATGATACGAATTGAGACTAAGCGTGTATAGAGTGCGAGACGTTTAGCGCTACATTTAGAGTATTCGGTCCTGGAGTGTTTCTATAGCTGAACCTATACCCACCTTCAAGCCTATACCTCTGTCCTTCGGCTCATCCCGGTCTTGGAACCGCAGTCTTTCGTCCCTTCTCGACATAGGACCTTTGGCTAATCTCCAGTGCAGCCTTCAGACCTTGCTGGCCGTACACCCGGCAATCTTGGACCTTAGCTATACGTAGTTCTATCTCTATTCCTTCTAAACGAAGCATAGAATGAAGTTATACAAGTATTATGTATATGCGAGGTATATGTGACTACTCCGCATCTGTGTTATTCTTACTAGTTGCATCTGCCTACTGTTTGGTTTCAATGCGCTCGCCATTTGGCGTGAATATGTATAAAAATGTTGCAACCAAGTGCGAGCTCTGGCCCCTCCATAACCATGACACTCAGTTCCTTCGCACCAAAGCATGTCCGGCGCAGTGGAGGCGAAGTCGGCTCCCAGCCAATGGAATCTCTCCTCCACCAGTGATCCACTACGGGAACTGCGATCCAATACTTTGTACTGCTGCGGACGCTAGTCTTAGTCCCACTGCAGGTAGGGCACCACTGCTGGCCTTCTAAAAGATAGAAATGTGTGTCCCGCTGGCCCGTTGTCCATTTTCTGAACGAATAGACCACCGCAGTTACATCTGCCTGCGGAGGCTAGTACCACTGCAAGTGGGTCGGTACTGCATTCGCCAGAAAATGGGCGTCTTCCCACCGTAGTATTGGCTTCGCTGCGGCCTGGTTTGTAGCCACTGCTGGAACCAAAGCTTCTTGCAATACACACAGGTATGACACAGAATTGTGCACATCTTTACAGTACAAATTTATCCAATAAGGACAGCCTTGGCAAACCTTGATAAACTGGGCAGCGACACTGTGCCTAGTGAGGAGCAGTTACACCGTAGCCAAATTCCCACCGTCATCTGCCCAACTCAAGGGCGCCCACAAGAGGCTGTCTTAAGCGTACGGTCTCACTCTAAACGAATACCGAAACAGGTCGCCAAGACCTTCAAGTCTATATTTAGCAACCGTCTGCCTCAGAAACACAAGAGATGGATATTGCATCAAACATGATCATGAGATGATCAGACGGCCCACGCCCTCATATACTTTAATGTTAGAATACATCATCTGGTAAATTCGCTCCTTAAGAGAGAATTGTTCATGAATATATGGTGTAGACCCTATAATACAACAGTTATTTGCGATATATTCAGCTTGGTTCGGTAATAGTGCAGTAGCCAAAGACACTAAGAGGAAGTTGCTGGTTTCTGTCCAGAGGTAACGCGACTGTATCCATTAGTGAGCATTCCGGGCCATATTGAATAATTACTCACACTTGAAGCCAGCCTTCAACCCCTTGGCGCAGAGCCCGACGTGCTGCAGCGCATGAAAGCAAAACCTCAAGGTCACGCTTCCCCAGATATTCAACAAGCAATTCCATGCTGTACGCTTCAAAACCCTCCGCCCAGTTTTCCACTACCAATTTGGCTAGGCTGGGAAGCTCCAGGCTCAGTGGTAAATGATATACATGCTCGACTACATTGATAAAGCCGCAACGCTGCATTTCCGTTCGGTATTAGAGTGGGAGATTCAGCGAACGTCCGCCCATGCGGAATGCAGCCTCCATATCTCTATACAGTCGGTGGAGGGCACCTTCGCAATTGGGATCCTGAAAATGAACAGTCCAGTCCCATATTTCAACCATCCCATTGGGTAAGCAACACCTAATGTTTAATCAACACAAGCTACAGAGTTCAAATGCGGAGTCATACCTGTAGGCGCCATCGAGAAGGCATGTCAGAATTTGACGATCTCCCCATAGTCCACCGATATGGATAAATTCCGGTTTAGGATACCCATAATGCCAATCTCGTTGGGTGAGGTCATCGATAACAAACTCGCAGTTTATTGGCACCCTGATTCTGTTATTTTGCTGTAATCTGACCGATAATGATGATCTATACCATTCTTCTTGCATGTGAACCGCATCAATTCCGTAAACCAATCTTGTTAGGTCGATAACTTCAAGAATAACAAAGTCACGTCAACATTGACGACGGGTATTTATCGGCTAACCTTTTTATTAGCAAAGATGAAACAGCAATTTGACTAAAAGACAGTTACCAAACTGTATTGCCCAGGACCCGATCCCAGTTCTTACATCAAGTACAGTCTGCGGTCTTGAAATGGAAGCTGGACAAAGTCTCCCCTGGAATAACTCGAAATATAAGAAAATTTGCCGGCCTAAGGGGATTGTCATCAGCAGCACGTTGATACTCAGGAACTTCACCAACATTGTCTGTCTTTCTCTCTCTACACACCGTTGAGTTAGCATGACTTGACGACCAATATATAGTACATACCTCATCAACAGGGAACGGATGTAGGCCTCGGTAACTAGCTGAATAGTAGCGCCCGTGATTATAATACTTTTCGTCGGGTGATTCCAGTGGAACAAAGAAACTGCAGAGAAATGAGATAGATGAACATGTAACAGATATTAGGCATGAGATACTTATCATCAACCTCAACGACTCAGTCATAACCATCGTCTGATAATGATACCATTGTACTACGACTTCAAGTTACTCTTGTTCAAGTGATATTGTCTAAGTGGTGAGTAAGTCAAATACCTGATTTGCGAAGAAATAGTTAATAAGTGATACGAATCGTTATCGGACCACGTGATCGCTAGCGCCTTGGCTGATCAGCATCCCCGACCCCTGAAGGCTTCATCCATTAGCTACAGTGTCTGGTATTTGAAGTTTACAACACCCCTAGGAGGGCGCCGTGCACCCGTCCTACCGCCTACCATTTTTACCATAGTAAGCTGGACTGAGGCAAACGCGCACGCGTAGTTGAATAGGATCACACATATATATTTTGAAGCCTTTTATCTCTATACAATATGCCTAAACGCAGAGGTTGCAAGGAGTTGACCCCCCAGATGCGCGCTCGTCTATGTGAACTCCATTCTATTGGCTGGGGGGCATGCAGATTTCATAAAAAGCACCCCGAAATCCCTATTCCTACTATATCTTATACCCTGAGAATGGAGCGCGTTCGGGACGATAATAAAAGCCTTCCACGCCCTGGCCAGAAACGCAAGCTACTGAGGAACACCGGGATCATATATATGATCGAACTCATACTGATCCTCATGTTACGTACAAATCTCTGATCAGTGAAATTGATAAAGCTGTATTAAAGTGTTCTATTCAGAATCTCACCAGGGAATGGGGCAAGCGGAAATGGAGACAGAAACGCAGGCCTGAAATCAAGCCAGTATACGCAGCTAAACGCCTTGCCTGGGCCCGAGAGTATAAATTCTTCACGCCTGAGGACTGGGCCCGCGTGAAATGGAGCGATGAGTGTATGGTAGAACGAGGTGTTGGTAATTGACCTATCTGGACATGGGTTCGGCCTCGGGAACAGCTTCAACAACAAGATCTTCACCTTGTACACCGTGGTAAAGGTGTTAAGCAGATGTTTTGGGCTGCTTTTGGAGAGCAGTCTATAACTGGCCTTGTTTCTCTAGACAGTGATCCTTCTTCTGCTAGGGGGGAGAGTCACAGGTCAAAGTATCGCTGATTTATATCGAGCCTTTCTACCACAAATTGTTAGCCCTGGGGATATCTTTATGCACGACAATGCTTCTGTCCATACTTCCCATATTGTACTCGATATACTAAGGGATATGGGCATTCAGGTTATGATATGGCCACCTTACTCACCTGATCTTAATCCTATTGAGAATCTATGGGTCTTAATGAAGGAGGAGATATATAAGCTTTATCCTGAGCTAGAACACGCTGATGATACTGAGACAACACGTCAGCTCCTTATACAGGCAGCTAAGGAAGCCTGGCAGGCTCTAGAACAGCGGGTTCATGTACGCCTTTCCCAGACTATGCCTCACCGTGTAAAGGCTGTCATTGAGGCCCAGGGCTGGTATACTAAGTACTAGGATAGGAATCCATGAAATTTCTGCCTGGCTGAATAGACCTAGTTTAGTAGGCGGTCCCTAAATCAGCCACTAAACCCTATACGAGTGTTATAAATTTCAATTGCTCCCCACTGTAACTGCGATAGTGATAAGAATCAAGAGCCCGATAGTGATTAGGATAGTCGATAGAATCAAATAGCTATCGAATGGCATCCGGTCCTCAGTAGGCTACGTACGTGTAGCTGATACAGCCTCATTCTGCCCTTCTTTCCCCTGAGATCACAACAATAAGAATAGGCGTACCTACCGTTCAAGGGGATCCTAAAATAACCCTTAAGTTAGTTGTCCAATCACAAATTGAGTATCCTACAATAGTTTGGTATGGTGGGTACCTACCGCAGACGCGCATAGAGCAGTTCCCAAACTAATTGTCAGCCCCACTACCCAACAACGGCACATACGTGATGTTGCGCACGTCGCAATGTCCAGCGTTCCAGAACAGACTGGGAACAAACTTAATTATAGTCCTGGGTAACAAATTTGTTGAACCTTTAGCAGATATAATTGGAAATCTGGTTAAATGGCGTAAACAACAAGATTCGCCTGAAACATTCACATGGCAAGATCCGTGCTTTCCATTCATTGGATCAGGCATATTGCGAAGAACAGCCAGTAATCAATCATCGTATTCATTACCAACATATACATCACTTGTAGAGACTGTTCGACTTCCTATGAAGTAAATCTCACTCCTATGTTGCCGCCAAGTGTTATCGGATACCAGTTTATTGTATTTCTTTCCTCCCGAAATTACTAGTCATGCGATAGGAGGGCTTGCCTCTGGCACGAGGTGGATGATAGGGATCGAGTATACCTTAAGGTTCACCATAAATTATCAGACGGCAGTCATAATTAGAAGGTGATTACAGCCAGACCGCGGTTATAATTCACGGGGGGGCGCGCGCGTGGCGCAGGTCATCTGCTAACACTTCTGTAGATTGATTTCTATCTAGTGGTGCTATGGATAACTCCATGAAGCAACCAGTTTGGCGCAGCTTACATCGAACACCTCTATGGCTAAAGCTGTTGCATTAATGGGTGTCCTCCCGATTACACATGGCCTATGGATTCTGCACAGTGTTGACTTACATTCGTGGTATATCTCTCTGTGGTCCGCTATCACGATAGTGGTGTCTAGTGTCACTCTCCATCTATGTAAGATGGAGCCTACAGTGGCCAATTTGCAGAATATTGCAACCGCCAGTCATCTAGACAAATGTGGCTATCACCCTCCCCTTATATATTGCCGGTCACATCCCGATTATGACTTTAGCGCTATGACCCTTGTGTTCTTTGGGGTAACGTATGATATGCTGAATTTTGTATGTATTGGGATATATGGAATCCTTGCCTTGCAACGTCTCGCCCGCTATCCCAAGAGGTGGCTCAGCCGAGAGCCATGGTTCCAAGTTACTTACCACCGAGCTCATCCGTGGTTAGAATCCAAAGGAACCAGGTTTGTTTACAGAACACTAACTGCGATCACTGAAATCCTCCTACTATCCTCCCAACTTCTTTTACGTTTTCGGGATCGTAGCACTCAGTCTTCCAACGATCGCAATCGACTCGTGAAGTTTCGGCCAAATTATCGCCGTGGCCGTCTAGGCTCCTATCATCAGTAAATGTCTCTATTGGTGTTTCTATATGTTTCCATGTCTCTTTCTATAGTTTTTTATGTTTTTCTTATACCTTCTTCTGTTGTGCTCATAGTCAGATTAGTTGGTACAGATTCTTACTCCATCATTCGACTCCCATAGCCCCACAGAATGATCCGAGTCGATGCAATCAATGAAGAACACCACCCAGATTGGGAACTACTTTTCTTTGACTTCCCCTCCATGAGCGGCACCAAACAGGAGGCAGAAGAGTTTGTTGAGACTTGGAAATATGTCTCTGTGGATATGTAGCGAAGAGTGATAAGACAAGCGATGGACAATGGCCGGAATTGAAGAATATACGTGCGAATAGTCGGCTTCCCCTCAGTGTGGGGCCCTCAATTGCCTGTACAACATCCAGACTGTCCGAGAAAATTGTCATTCCAGGCTTCTCGCCGTTACGCCCTCTCCAGTGCAATATGATCCCCCAGAAGCTCACTAGGTAGAATACATTAAGCATGGCGATGGCCAATCATATCATTCAATATGAGCAGCTGATAATTGCGTAGCGGTGTTCCTTTGGCTCTTCCACATTAGGAGTTATAACCCCCACCTGCAATACGGTTTGGTCGAAGCCTAGAATATAGATTGTGATGGTAGCAGTCGAAGTTTAATAGAGAAGTTCATACTATTACTTATCTTGGGAAGCACCCTTTATAAACATTGCCCACTATCATACAGGCTTTTAAATGGAAGAACTATACATGAAAGCACTGGCTCGTAGCTGATAAACATAGAAGCCAAAGAAAGAGGCGAAAAAAGTAAGATGAAGCATAAAAAGCTTTCTCGCGCTTCTGGAACAGAGTAGTACGGTTCGAGGTTACCGACTGTATTGAGTAAGCGCATAGATAGAGACAGCTGGCCTTCCAAAAGCCGCTGGAACTCGTTGTTGCGAACGAAATACTATAGGTTTAACCCGTATAATCAAGCATTATTGCTTGAATATTCGATTCAGCCTTGGATTCGTTATCGAAGACGATACATAACACTCGCACGTCTCCAACTCGTGTCTCAGGGAGCGGGAAATCGCTCAACATATATACAAGCATGGGGAGACTGATACTATGCAATATGTGCCACTCAAATTACTCCCCATAAATACTCAGGCGGGCATAGGCGACTATAATCGCAGGAGGGATCATACTGGAGATGCTCACCATTGTCACTCTCGGGCGGGAGGGCCAGGGGTGGTTTTATTCCTCTCACAACGTCATTTGCAAAACCTATTACGGATGCTGGGCTAGCAAAGATACTGTCCTGCAGTGGGAGTCTATGCTTCTGGTCCGTGTCGTGTTGTTCCTGGAGGCAAATTGGGGTAGATCTTGCGCTATCCGGCAGGGGCATAGGATGATCACCAGTATACAGATACTGGAAAATATACGTAAAAGTATCTTCGATCTAGTCCTGGATCTCCATAACAAAAGCAAGATCGGCCGAATTTACTGAAGAGATCGCCCCGGATTTGAGCCATTGGAGTGGGAAAGTCTTAAAAGACTAACTTGAAGACTGACACGCAATTTGGGCCAACCACAAACTTAACAATTTGAAATGCGAGCACCTGTGAATTTCCTTTCCTTATTAGTTCTGCCACTTGGCATGGTCGCCCCGTACGTTATCCAGTAAACACTGGCCTTGACCACCTCCAGTATAAATGAGCCCTCGCTCGCAGCCCTCCCTTCTCCCTCCCGAACTCACCCTCCCATATTCTGCACTCATTCGCGCGGCGCCGTCGTTTCATCGGGCCCTCACTGCCACCTACCTTTCTCCCTTCCTCGGAAATTGTGAGTGCGCCCTCCGTCTAGACGCCTCCACTAACCACTTTCGCGAGGTGGTTGCATTGAGTGGCGGTTGCGCTGATTGATTTTCCATCTACATTCTGATGCAGACGATCTTTCTCGTGTTTCAGTTCAATTTCTAGAGCCCTATTCTCTACCCTTCGGACTCATATCACAGAAATGCATTCTTCACTCTTCTGCGACTTTCCCATGATACAGCCCACCTTGGTGCCTCGTTTGTCGGAGGACGTTAGTAAGGCGCATTGAAAACACGTCTGCCTTGCCCTCCCTCTCCCCTCCTCCCACTTTCTTCCCGACCACCTCCTCGGCCACTCGCTTTTCGAATGTGGAAAAATTCAACAACAAGAAACATCGGAAACCATCGAAATTTGGTTTAGTTGCCTCATTTATCTTAGCTCTCAGCCTTCAATCGCATGTCTATTATCCAGGGTGTCACGTATCCCAATTTCCCCGTTACATCACGTTGGCTCGATGTATCGTCTGATTCTCCCCGATCCCGTTGCCTACATAATAGGTAGTAATGCCTTTCTTTTTGGAAGCCTTGACTCGCAGTTTGGGCCTAGCTGCCACTATCTGACCTTTCCATTCGGAAGTCACTTTGATATAGTATCAATCCACTGGGCTCTCCGGCGCATCATGCCTGACGAAAGCGGACCATCAAACGCATCCTATTGACCACGCGACATGAACGGAGACCAAGATTGCAAAATTCTGCTGGAACGACTCTTACGTCTTCAACGCCGTTCTAACTGGGGAGGATGTTTCCCGCCTCATATCTATGATACGTTCCGATGCTTCCGACAAAACAATTCCTAGCGCTATTTCTGAGGCTACGGAAGTGAAGGGGCGGACTGATCCAGATGCGGAGTAATGAATGGTCCAGTTTAATATATATAGTTTCCGGTTCTTATCAAAAGGATGGGCATGTAGTAAGCCTTTGGAGAAGTCGTTGAATGCCCCTTCCAGCGAAAGATCTGGCAACAGGCTAGAACAGTGAACATCATACTAGCATTTCTATATACTGTCCGGATCGTAGACATCCTTCCAGCCCTTAGGAGTTATCTCCGACCCGTAGGCAGGTCCGAAGACGTGATATATCCGTGCTCATATCACCAAACTATCACATAGCACAACGTATGGAGATGCCAAGCTTTGAGATTCAGCTGCTCCTTGGTCGGATACCCATCTGGACTCCAGTGTAGGTCATCGCCATGCATTGGGCAATTAACTAGATAGGATGTTGATCCGCTTGTACTGTAGCGCGTACAATACATAGATATCAGCTTGAATCTAGCTGCGAGATTGACTTCGCTAGCGAAGCGCGGGTAGTGGGGTTTTTGTACGTATCACATTCTCCTGCTCCCTACGTCTGTCTCCGCGATCAACGTCCATTATTTACTTGTCATAATATTCGTGTATGATTTTGCCAACAGGCCACTACGATGCCTTAAAACCGATTCGGGGACGTCAACACTTTTCTCGTATCATTCCCAGTCATGCTTTTTCTCCCTCCACAATTCCCCTATCTCTTTCCCATACGAATGTTGGCATGACTTACCCATCAGCTTCTCCGCCAACCCAAAGATTGGATTATCTTCGGTCCGATATCCCCCTGCCCAATCTCAGCTTTCTTTGCCTATTCACCACATCTCGCAGTTCTGTGTACGGTTGCCGCTCTCTGGTGTTTGCCCTGGATTGACCATAACCGGGGCTATGATTTTCAAAGTTCCCATCTCTCCTCTACCACCCGTCATGGCGCCAGGAAGCAGGCGTGATTTCAACTGCCCCTGGAAAGGTTGCAGAAAAGTATGACCCCCCAACCATCGTTTATCCGTCGTCCCGCTGCTAATTTGTCCAGACTTTCAGCCGTAGGTCCGACATCTCCAGACACCACCGAATACACACCAACGAACGACCGTACCACTGCATGTTCAAGGACTGCAACAAGAGCTTCATTCAGCGGAGCGGCTTGACTGTGCATTCGCGAACCCACACTGGCGAAAAGCCCCACATCTGCCAACATATGGACTGTCATAAAGCCTTCTCTGACGTACGCGCTCCTGGTGCAATTCAGTTTTACTAAACCATTTGACCAACCAAATCCAGTCCTCGAGTCTGGCGCGCCATCAAAGGATCCACACAGGCTGCCGACCCTATACCTGCCAGGAGCCCATGTGCCAGAAAAGGTATACAACCCTGCGTCAAACTTGGGAACGGCTCCCCACTGACCAGTAACCCCACCAGCTTCTGCCGCAAAACTACCCTCACCAGACACGTGAATCGCGCTCATCCTCCTGGAGCCATGGAGTGCGACCCGTCCGAAGATATATCCTCTGGCCGGTCCTACCAACCTTGCGCCACCGCTGTTCCCCACGGCCAGTATCTGCTCTCCCAGCAGCCCTTCTGCCCGCCGACCTCCATAAACCACGCGTTCTACTCGGCCCAACCCATTGTGGCACACAGCACGACTGTGTCGCCCACACCGATGGACGTGCAGCAGTATGTACAGCTGGCGCGGCAACAGTCTGATTTGATGCATCTTGTGTTCGGCTCGCTGTGGTTTCAGCCGGCCTCTCAAGCCGAAGTTCCGCTCGTCGACAGTCATGCGCTTATGATTGGCATTCCCCAGGACCTTTCAACATAAAATGCAGACCCTTCTTCTAAACCAGGCCGAGGGCACGGACTGGGGGTTCCTAGGAGTCAGCTGAAAGTAGTGAAGACTTTCTTCAAATATTATCAACCTGTCCGACTGTCTGTTCATGAGTAATTCATTGTATTGAGTGGCATATATGTCCATTTCACGGTTATATCATGTAAGTGTCAGCCTTTTTCGTATGCCTTGCTACTAGTAAGACACGGGGATCGTTCCCCTGGAAGAAAGTTCAACTACTTCATATCGTGCCCGGGGCGTGGAAAGTCCTGGCAACAGACTGGGATGGAGAGGATATGTGCAGTTTAGATTAAATGTGCATTTCATGACCGAATAATGCGAAAGCATTACAGCCTTGTCAGATGTTCGTGGCAGCGCATGTGCCATTTCAATCCTTTTCACGTTATTCTGGTAGAAGTACTTCAAATACATAGTGTGGGTTCAATTATTGCATATCGCTTCATCTATGCTTCCTTTACCAATTCACGGAACTCGTTCGACCAAATACAAGAAGAAAAATTGTAGACTGAGGTTTTGTTACTCAGCCGGAGGATTTAGGCTTATATGTATCTTGTCAGTCAATCTTTATACCCTCATTTTAAGCAACCCCTCTTTAGTGGCATCAAATTCTATGGAGGGGCTTGTTCTTTTGTCAGCTCTGCCAAGCATTTAAAATTAGGTACCATTAGCCTGCTATACGTTTCACTTGAAGGAGTGGGCCACCACAAGACGAAAATAAGATGGCATATATTGGAGATTGAAGAAAACACATTACCGGGTGTCCGGATACCGGTCACGACTTACACACTTTGATTCTTTTAGTAACCCTAACTCTAAAACGAGCTATGCCATTTTTAGAAATCTCACGGATTATTATTATTCCTTGTATGTATCGTTGCTGGCTATACACGGCTAAGGAGAGCAGTAAAGACAACAGATCTTATTGTTTTTTAACCTGAGGCTATGCTGCTGAGTCGCTGTGACGCGATCGGGTCGATCACGTATGTGGGATCGTTCAGTCTTAATCGGGTGTTCATGAAATTCCAATTCCTGAATGGGGAGATGGATAGGTACGATATTAACACGCAAGGGAGGATTTCTTAGCTACGAATAATTATATAGTCATAGTGCTGCCAGAAAAGATGCACGATCGTCTGAAAATCCTCCCTTGTTGCCTTGCGAAAGGTACTATTTCTAATATACGCATAGGACTCCTACAGGGATTCCCGCAGAGGTTAGTCCCATGGACAGTCACAATGTGGATATATATCTGTCTTGCTTTTATTTAATTTATATATAGGGATAAATAGGACTTTTCTATATAAAGAAGCCTAGCATTTTTATCTATAATAATACTATCTGTGTAGACACATACCTACTACCTACCTCCCTCTTTATAGGTATGTTATTGGTAAATTGATGACATTTGCAGCTAGCCCCCCCCTGGGCCGTTGGTACCTTTGCCGGGGCAGATAAACGCACGGGCGCCTGACGTAATGTCACCATATGGCCGTTCTCAGCCACAAACCGCCATCACGAACAGTTGTTCCCTACCACTTATATTACCATCACCAACCAACCCGCAGCTCAGTTCAGTGCAAGCACAACCTTCGTCTACGTCTTTATCTTCCTCTGCTTTCTGTATCTAGACTTCCAAAAGGATGACTCTTTTCTCATTATCGCCCATGTCAACGCTGCTCAAGTCAGGCAGTGACTCGCACTCCGACCACCACAGCAGCAGCAGCAACAGGGACTTTGGCGGCTTCGTCTCGACAGCCACACTCCAGGTCCGGGCCATTGGGTATGATGTGGACCAGGCGCTTACCGGCAGGACGCTGGAGAACATTTCCGTGTTCCGGTCCGGTTCCAGGGACGCTAAGTACGTCTCCATCCGGCTCAAGAAGAACTCCAACTCGTGCGGCCTTGTCCGGGTCTCTGATCAGGCTGCTCTCATGTCCACCATCTACCGCTTTGGCCCGGGGAAACAACCCCAGATGCGCATATTGAATCTCCATTACAAAGTTTCCATCGAGGACGCCATCAAAAACGAGAACGTGCGGGGGGAATCAATCGAGGTGAAGAGTCATTTGCTGATCTCGCGCGCGCAGGTCTTCGACACGTCGCTCGGGAAGTTCGAGTGGCGCTACGGCACCAACGAGCAAGCGGCTTGCAACGCTCACAATCTCCTCGTCATGGAGCGCATCGACCGAGTCTCATTTCCCGGCGGCGGGCAGAGCAAGAGCGGCGCCCGCGTCGCGCAGCTCATTTGCAACGACCAGTATCGCACCCCCGGCACCAAGAAGTACTCGGGCAGGAATGGGGGCCGCTTGTTCATCGATCTGTGCATGTGTAACGAAGACAAGAATACCAGCCCCCAGCGTGTAGAGGCGTTCGTTGTGGCGAGCTGTATCTTGATGCTGAAGAGAGGGGCGGATCGTTTCATCGATAACCACCTCGCCCTGGTGGTGTAAACGTGACAGATGTGGTGATTTTTGTGTAATGACTCATGTTGGCACGATAATCACCCACTTCAATGAGTTGTCTATTCGTTGTAAGAATAGCGCCTTTTGGATCTGGTTTACTCTCAACATCCACGATTACTATCTTCTTAACAACTGTTACCTGACATCACGATATACCCCGCACTTTGCATGACTTAGGCTATGTTATATAACAACGTTGAACAACGCCTGGACGATTTCTTGGGCATTCTAGCTCTTTTTTGTCCTCTAGTAAACTCTGGCATGATTCTTGTCATTGGTGCCATGTGTGTGGTACAATGTACCTATTAGGCAAGGACAACCTTGTCGGTAGGTACAAGCCTCGGGCATTGTGGCGGAGTCTGGTCAAGTTGTTAGGCACCCTGAATTGTTGTTCTTGAGAAGTTGATAATACCTGTTCAGGCACCTTGAGTAGCGGCATGTTTGCCGATGTGCAGTTGCACGAGACTTGCCGTCCAATGGTTCTAGGTAAATGACGTTCACATGACGTTCACATCCACTCTCCGTACCCCATACACCCCACGCTGAAGGCCCTTGGAATCTAAAATTCTCCTGGAAACCGGAACTGTTTAAAGTGACCGAGACCTGGAAACCACTCCGGGGCATTGGTTCCACATACGAGATTTTGTCCCGCACTCCGGGTTGCGGGGACAACGTGTGCAGCCATGTTTAGTTGAATGAAAACACGGGAGAGCCATGCTGACAGGCTTGATTCACCGGGTGAGCAAATAAGAAGCCTGATCCTGGTCGACATGGCCATGCACACAGCCGACGACCTGGTCCAAATGACGAGCTAAGAGTTCGTCAGGTTTTCAGCGCAAGAGTCCCCATGGACAATGCAAGCTGATCAAGCCAATCGAGGGGTTTCACCTCGCTAGTGCTACTAGTGCCCTCGACGGTCACGGATATTGCACCTTCCGGAGCTGGTTGATACGTGACCGTGTTCCAGGGACTCTGAGGGGGATTATTCTCATCAGAACCCAGCATCCGGACTTTGCTAGCATTAAGCAGCACGAGAAGCTGGTCAAGGAGTGCTAACGCTGAGTCCATACCCCGCAACGATCTATGCGCAATGGTGTGCACAAACTGTTTCGGGATAGAACCGTTTAGAGGATTTCTCTTCTGCACCGTCTGACTGTTCATCTGAAGCTCCAATAGCGCAGCCAGCCGCCGTTGCAAACCTCGCAAGAGGTCTCGGCTGCAACGAATCTCCGCGGTGAGGGACTCCCTCGACGACTCGGGCGCGTTCCGAGCAATCATATCGCGGGTGCGCACGAGGTACCCCGGACAGAGTAAGACTTCCTCGAACGCATTCTCGGTGATCTCGCCCAGTCGGTTGCCCTTCCCGTTGCGTTCCTCCGTTAGTAATGCCTCCCGATTCATCGCCCGCCACTCCTCGCTTTCAAGAAAGCATGGCTCCTGGCAAGTAAAGGCTTCGGCGACTAGAAACGCCCGGTATGTAGTGTACATGGTACGCCCGAAGCCTGAGCGATGGGCATCCGGCCCACGCAATCGGAACAACGCCCCGATTCCGCGCGAATGCACCAGCCATGAATTCGATCCAACACCGTCCAGTACTTCGTATACGCCGAGTGCGATCGCTGCAGCCAGGGTGTCATCCGATTTGACGCGAACGGGATCGCGCAGGGACTGGGCTAGACACCGCAACGCCCGGTTATACATGTGTCGGCTCGCCTGTAGTTGGTCATGGTCGTGATGTCGTCGCGCCAAGAACCAGGTGTTCAAACAACGAATACCCCAATTAACGGCGCTTGACTGCGCAGCGGAATGATGTCGGACAAAGTCGACCCAGGTGAGATCGACACGGGCAGAGAATGCGGCATACAAGTTCGGGAAGACAGCGTAGACGACATCGGAGAAGACTTCTTTAAGCTGTGTGTCCAGAGCGGTCGCCGTCAAGTTACGTGTGAAGGATTGGTCGATTGTAGGCCGGCCGAGCACGAGTGCCTGCTGGTGGTGATATCCTTTCAGCGTCGGTTTAGATGGACGTACGTCGTCGAATTCGGAAGTGCGGGTGGATTTAACGACGGCCGGGGCGGTTTTATGGTAGAATTGGAATCTCTTCTGGTAACCAGGGCAGGTTATTTGTCGCTTTTGGCAGCGTAGACATTCTGGTCGGGTTTGATCGCACTATTTGTTCATTAGGATGGGCATTTTCCGCTTCGATATGATTTTCATTGTTCTTTTGATTTTGAAAATTTCTTTCTTTTGTAAAGTCTTATTTTTATTCTTAATTTTTTTTTTTTTTTTTTTTTTTTTTCTTGAGTGGAAACACAGCCGAGGCAGATTAACATTGGAGCACCCACTTTGACCCGCCGCTGGAGACAGGCGCGACAGCCAGTGCTGCGCGGTACGCCAACCATTCTTCGCTACTGCTTGTCAGGAGGGAGGCATGA